CAACCGCGAACCCAACCCAACCGCGAACCCAACCCAACCGCGAACCCAACCCAACCGCGAACCCAACCCAACCGCGAACCCAACCCAACCGCGAACGGCATGAACAGCATGCTTGACCGTGGATAAGCCCCTTAAAGGTCTTTGCCCACTACACCGTATCATACCATGACCGTAACCGTATCGACACATGCAAAAAATATTCTTTGTGTGTTGATCGATGTCTAAATAATGTCCAGTATTCTCCCTCAGCTTTTCGTTCTTTTAGAGCATCGTGAATCCAGTACCGTCGTCGCTGTTTTTGCGTTACTTCTTCTTCCTCGTCCAATATAATGGCAATCATTGCCAATTGTCTGATAGATAGATAACTTTCTAATAGCCATACCGTCGCTTTTTTGATACTATCCGCAGGTAGGCGCAACAGCAAAAACGTACAACAACTAACAGATCTGGTGCTGCACTAAACGGGATCCGAACGGGGCATCTACAGTTTACATACACGCGCATAATACGCGTTTCATACGAGAATAGCACGCTGTTGGTCCATTGCAGTGGGCATAGTAGTGTTCGAAACGTTTTCTTACGTGCTTGACACGTTCCTGTTACGGTCCTAGTATGAAACGGTGTAGTGGGCAAAGACCTTAAGTCAGCAATATTATGTATGTGTGTAACCTGGCAACCCTGATAACATGTTACAAATCGGTCTTTAAAAAAACCTTTCTAAATAACTATTTATTCTATTTTAATTAACTTTTTTTTGTGATCAGGTTATGAGTTATTCCCAATTTTTGGTAGATATAAATAATTAATTAAATTTTAATTGTAAAAGCCACTTTTTTTTTATTTTTATTTATTAAAAAAACGTATAGAATTTTATTACAAATGTCGAAACCTTTTTTTAAGATTAAAATCTGTATTATATGTACATTAAAATAATAAAGGAAGATTCTTAATCTTTGGAAGAAGTGGACGACCTTGATTCGCTGCGTTTCCGTTTCTTTTTAGTCTTTTTGTGACTGGAATTAGATCTTTTGCGGCTTCTCGAACGTTTCCTTTAAACAAAAATAATAATCAAATTTATTTCTACTAGGATATTAAAAGTACACGTTCTAACAATCACCTTTTATGATGATAACTCCTTTTTTTCTTACTTTTCCTCGCTTTTCGAACATCGATTTCATCATCGGAATCCGTTTTTACATCACTCCTCCTTTGAGTCCGCCCCTTTTTCTCTTTAACCACTTCAGAAGTCACTCTCGTTTCTGTATCACTAAGAACCACCAACACCTTTTCATCATTTCCTTTTTTCCCCGACAAATCATCTTGTCCTCCGCTGTTAACCGCTTTCAATCGCAAAAACGCAGCCGCTTTTTTTCTTCTCTCCAATTGCAGAGCACGATCTTTAGCGGCCAACACCATCTTTTCTCGTGCAGCAGCCGCCAATTTATCTTTAATTCGATCTTCCGCGCGGCGAGCGTCTTTGCGTTCCTCCAATTCTTCGGTTAAATCAATCATTTCGAGAATTGGGTCTGAATCGGAGGGTTTTTGAAGATAAATTTGTTCCGATTGAATTTGTGGTAAGGGGGTTTGCGGAAAATCGGTGCAAGAAGATGAAGATGTTGGAGTGAGGTTAGATTGTGGTGATTCCAAGATGTTCTGGGAGATGAGGAAGTTTTGAGGAAGGTTTGTAGAGGTTGCCGTAATTGGTTGATCCTCATCGCTTTCCTCTAAAGGGAGGGCGCTTTTGATATCTTTTGCAATTTCTTCTTTGGGTTTTTTTATAGAAAAACTTACTGGAGCTACAAAAAAAAAAGAATCAATTTTAACAATTTGCTGCAATAATCAATTAAAACCCACCGATAATTTTTTTATCTTTCGGCTTATCTTTAGTTGTCATTAAATTATTCTCTTCCGGTGGTGTTGATGGTTTTTTCCCAAACTGAACCACCTGCGATTTATAATATCGATGATAAACGTGATCATCTAACAAAAAATTAAATCTTGCATCCCCTTTACTCTTAACAATACTCTCAAAATCGTTTCCATTTTTCGCGACATAACTCGCCATCTTTTCGATTACCAATCGAATCTCATCCGGCGGTGTTACTTCTATTTCATCGTTTTCATCATCTTCATTATTTTCTTCATCCGTTTCACTACCATAATGTACCAAACCCAAAATATTTTTTTTAGTTTCCGAAATCTCCGTTTTTTCTACGACAGATTGGTTTTCAGTGGTTTTCATCACTTCCGGTTGGGGTTGCTTTTCAAATTCAAGTTTAGGAACAGAAATGATCTCATTGCTCGGCGTTGTAACGGGGGATTTTACGTGGGATAAATTCGAAACGAGTTGCGCATAGGGATTATTCGAATTTGATTGTTGGTGTTGGTGTTGTTGGACATATTGCGATATGGCTATTTGAGCGAAAGCGGCGGCTTGGTTCGTTATTTGCTCTAAAGCAGATGGAGGAATCGTTTGCCCATCAGTACCTAAGCATAAATGTTAAATAAATAACAAAAATTATGACACATTATTTGACATTTCGATTGACATGAAGCAATTTATTTGACACATGACATAACCACAAGATTTCTAGATTTAAATTTACCTCCAATTTCATGATATTGTTGCACCAATTGTTTGTAATATTCATAATATTGAACAGAATAATAATATTGGTAATATTGCTGTTGTTGTTCATAAGTTGTTGAAGCCGCAGACGGTGTTGGTTGTTCCGGAAGCGCTGGTTTACCACCTCCCACATCCAATTGAGTCGGATTTTGCACGCCAGAGAAGCCTTGGATACGATTAACCAATTGCGAATAAGCGCAATCCGCCGTCGGTTTATAAACGGGAGTCGATGGGGCCGAAGGGGGAAGCGGAAAGGACGCCGCACCTAGTTGTTGCACCTGCACACAACGGAAAGAAAACACGTTACACGTTAACGCCGGAAAAACGGGTCTTTTAAACCTGTATGATAAAATAAGAAAAACATGAGAAATTTAAAGTTTTTGTTTAGGAGTAACATCCTATTTTTAATGATTTCTACTCGATTTTTATTATTAAAGTGCGCCAAAAAGTCGGCAAACCTGCAAAACAGAGAAGAACAATTAGTAACGGTCGATACATAAAAGGGATACGTACAACTTGTTTTTTAAATATACAACTATTAAACCAAACACAAAGAGATCAAGTAAAAAAATATGAATTAAGAGAACACAATTATTTCCAAAAATAATAAAAGATTAATTTAAATAAATCATAACCCACCGGATTTTGTAATAAACTTGGATGCAAATAATGTTCGTCTGAATGCTCGCGATCACTTCCTTCCGTCTTTGAATCTAACCCAAAAAAAATATATATACATATATAGAACCCTAATAAATTAATATTTCCTTTTACTTTCGTCTTTCACGGTTTCAACGATATAACTCCCAAGCTTAACAGCATTCAAAACATGCTTATAATATTTATACAACGGATCGTCTTGATTTAAAAACGAAAATTGTTTATTCCCAGCTTGTTTCGTTTTGATTAAAATCTCCATTTGCGGCCCTTGTTTACTCACAAAGTGGGCGGTCTTTTCGATTCTTGCATTCTCCTTTTCTTTTTTTGGCTAAAAATAAATACCCTCAAAATTTAATTTAAACAATTTAATTGTTTTTGTTACAATTGCGATATCAACGGGAACATCTAACTCTGGTCTTGGAACGTAATCTTTATCTTCTTCTTCAACGGTGGGTGCTTCCGATGATTCTTGCGGATTTTTTGGAACATCGTAATTAAAAGCAAACTCGTTACTTTTTACGCGTTTTAACTCCTCCTCTTTATACATTTCTTCTTCCTCTTCGTTGGTTCTTAACGAATAATATCGTTCCTCGTCGCATAATTGCTCAATTTTTCGATCGGATTCGCTTAAACCTAACCATCTGGTCGCATCGTAACCTTCTCGGCTTGCTTCGAACGGTTTTAAATCAGATAAAGCTCCACGGCCGTCGTATCTAAAAACCAATTTATTTTCTTTTTATGAAATTATATATTGGTATCAATAAGAACCTGTCGATTTTAAGGGAATCATCCCCCATCCACGGTATTAAATGTTTTCCTTGGTCGATGTATTTGGCTTTGTCATCGTCCCGGAAAAGTTTGCAAGCATAACCGAAAACGAGGAGGGTATCGTGATTTTCTACGACCACTTTCTTTCGCAATATTCCAGTTTCAGATGCGCCCCATTTCGACATTATTCTTAAAAAGTAGACAACAAATACATAAAATGTGTAAGGTTACGTTTTGTAACTTTTGACATTTGACAGACTTTAAAACTAACTTCATGTTTGTTTTCTTAATAAGATTCTAATAATTATTTTTTTTATTTAATTAATAATTTAATAAAAATTAATTAATTATTACAGAATTTTATAAATTGTATTCTGAATTGATAAGTATATTATCATAAATAGGTAATTATTCATTTGTAAACGTAACGTTTTACATTTAGGCGATACTGAACTGAAGAGGGCGCATAAATCCGTAAATACAATTTCAAAATTTAATTCAAACGATTTACCTTTTTTTCTCACAAATGCTTAACTTTTTCTTCTTGGTTTTCTTTTCAACATTATTTTATAAAGTAGAGAAATAAATAAAATGTGTAAAGTTGCATTTTGTAACTTTTGATAAATTTTAGAGCTAGCTTCACATTTGTTTACATATTTTTAAAAATTATTAATTTTTTTTGTAATTTAATAAAAATTAATTAATTAATATAATTTTATAATTATTTAACTTTTTATTAACTTATTCGTCGGTATTACAGTGATCTATCTACACAATTTTGTGCAGTATAAGCTGTCAAATTAGTATAAAAAAACTTCGATTTGAACAAATCAATCGAATCAATTTATTATAGATTGTATTACAGTTAATTCATTAATGAGCATATTGTCATAATTTAGGTAATAATTTATTGTAAAAATTATTTTATAAATTTAATATTTCACATTTAAGCGACTGTAACATATTCGAAATGAAGAGGACGTTTAAAGAAACCAATCGGCACATGTGCACCATAAGAAAATACTCGGAATCCTGCCTCCCAAAACTTCCGCCGAACGCTTCGAAATGGGAGAAATGCATGAGACGATTTCGAAAAACTTTATTATTATACTCGGATCACCCCTCTTGCAACCACCATTACCGCAGCAGCGCGGCGGTTATGTTCGAAAGGAAACGTCAAATTTCGACCGTTCCCGTTTACATAATCCACCCGTTTAGCAAATTTGCTTATTACAGGGAAATAGTTTGGTGGTTAATGTATCTAATAATATTTTCGATATGGCCAATAATGGCGACGCTTATAATTTACGAAACCTCTGAAAACGTGAAATGGGTCAACGAATGCGGGAGCTGCATCAACTGGTTCATCGTAATCAACATAGTGTTTAGTTTCATATCCGGTTACCATAACCCCCAAATAAGAGAGGCGGTTTTACGCCCGAAAGAAATCGCAATTCATTACTTAAAAACGTACTTTGTACCAGATTTTTTTAGTTTATTACCATCGAAGTGGTTATCGTTGTGTGACACAGGAAAAATGATCGTGATTTTGCAAAGATTCGTGCTTTACGCTCGAGTACCCACGATGTTCCAATACTCGCGGCACATCACCAATTTATTACAAATGAGCGATACCCAACACGAAATCGTCTCACTCATAATCTTATCGTTGTTTGTGTTACATTGGTGCGCATGTTTGCTGGCAACAATAGATAATCTCTATATCATTTTAGGGGATAAAAACACGTCTTGGTTTAGATACGCGAATCTTAGCAGCCCAAACATTCATGCAATGACGAGATACTTTTGGTCATTGCATGTAAGTATGGGCCACATTTATCGATTAGGTGGCGGGTTTTCACCTACCGAATCAAAATTCGATTATGTAACGCTTTCAATAATCAACATTTTGGGTTCGGCGTTTTTCGGATACATAATTGTGATTGTATTACAAGCGATTGGGACAATTAACGTGGCCGAAAGCAAATACGAAGAGCTTTTAAGGCAACTCTACGAGTATTTGCGATCCAAGCGAGTGCCCGTTAATATCAATAAGCGGTTAACGAGGTATTGCGAATATCGCTTTCAAAAACGCTATTTTAGAACTGAAGCGATTTTGGCGACGCTCTCAGATCACCTCCGGCACGAAATTACATTGTATACGTCAAGAAATTTAATCGGAAAAGTTGAAATTTTTAAAGGATTACCCAGAGGATTGATTGGGAGTATCATCGCGTGTTTAAACACGGAGATATATCTCAAAAACGACGTCATAATCTCGGCTCATAAGCCGTTGGAGTATTGGTACATCATCTCTCATGGAACTGTGGCGATGGTGCATACAAGCGGGCTCGAAATTTGCCATTTAGAGGATGGGGACGTGTTTGGGTGCGGCCATCTTATGGATGCCATGGATTACGACGTGAATATAGTTGCGATTGAAATATCGGAAATACTACGAATGACGAAACGCGACTTTTTACGCAACATGAATAACAAAACGATTTACGACCGATTAATGATCGCCATTGACAAACGTAACGATGATATTAAAAAGGCTTTGGATAAACGTGACCCTAAATTGCAAGAGAGGGAAGAAGTTTTATACAAAATCCGTAAAGACACTATTTTAGAAAGTGGGTTTCCAAGAAAGAAATGGTCACAAAGTGATGAAACAATTTAATTGATTATTATAATTAAAATAATAATAATAAAATCTTTGTTAATTAATATTTGTCGAATTGTTAAAGTTGGTGACACTTCGTACGATTTTTACCAACGACCAGGCCATAACTTCAAAACTGTCCTATTGATATACATCGAATGTTTGTAAACAGTTTCGGCGTTTTAATTTGCTTATGCTTATATTTTTAATTGAAAATGGATTAGAAACTGTTAAATTGCACTAAAACTAATTGATAGATTTATTAACTGTAAAGTTATTATTTTGCATTATGGTTATTTCGCGAGCGTAAATATAAATACGCAAGAGTGTACAAACATTGGACGAATGACAACGGAGGAGGTCAGAAATTACTGTATACAAGGTGTTAATTAAGCATGCAACCGGCTTAATATCTCCAAAAATACTTGTTGGTTCAACATGAAATTTGAATTGTGAATTTGACTAAACAAAATCTTTTAGGGTCGATTCACACTCTGATGCCGTTCACGGTTCAATCTCACTCCGGTCTCGGTGTGAATCGACCCTTATTAACAAAATTTTCAACTTTCTGTTTAGCTGTCAAACTTTTTAAGATGCAGCGCCAACTTGATATTTTTTTAAATTATATCACTAGTTAAATTTGACATCATTTGAAAGCTTATTTTATTCTGCATTCGAGAGTGTAATTAGTATTATCAAAACATTGTCTAATTAACGGTAAATAAGGAAAAATGAAGATGTCTACTGAATCTAGTTACCTCAAAAATGTAATAATAAAACGTCAAGAAACATGTTTGATTTAGAGCATCTATAATGTATACATATATTATTGTGCAAACGCGTTGAGGTTTGTACCACAGCGAAGAGCTTATGACAATGGTCACGTAGGCTCAGTCTCACAAGAGTAACGAGCTCGAACGTATCAATCCTAAATTAAATATTATAGATCATTTATTTTGTGGTAAAGTATTATAGTANCCGATTAATGATCGCCATTGACAAACGTAACGATGATATTAAAAAGGCTTTGGATAAACGGGACCCTAAATTGCAAGAGAGGGAAGAAGTTTTATACAAAATCCGTAAAGACACTATTTTAGAAAGTGGGTTTCCAAGAAAGAAATAGTCACAAAGTGATGATACAATTTAATTGATTATTATAATTAAAATAATAATAATAAAATCGTTGTTAATTAATACTTGTCGAATTGTTAAACTTGGTAACACCTCGTAAGAGAGTGTAATTACTCTTATGAAAACTTTGGCTAATTAACGGTAAATAAGATGTACCTCCAGTAATGTAGTCAAAGCGTATAGGACCAGGCTTTTTTGTAAAGGTGGTCTCACACGACTGGTGTACTTGGCAAATATTTGTCTACTCGGAACACTTGCGTAGCGTCTGGGAGCTCACATCGTCATAGGTATTTTTTATGTTACACGTGAATTAACAATGTAAGGCCAATGTTTACACAAATATTTGCCTACTTGCGTACTTGCCAATTACACCAGTCGCGTGGGACCACCTTAAAAGTCATTGTAAAGCATTTACTATAATTTATGCTGATGAAGTTTGTACAACAATATTGAGCAAATTCATATAGATCTCGCTGAAGAGCAGAACAATCTTTAGGATTAGACACGCGGCAGAAGATCTTTGGATCATCTACATAACATTAAGCAGTTAGCGTGTTTAAAACACTTAAGTATGTCATTAATATAAATATTAAAAAGCAAAGGTCCAGGAACGCTTCCCTGAGGGACGCCGGATGAGACTGACTCCGTCTGCGAGGAAACACCTCTAACTTTGACCGAGTGCGTTCTGTCAGCCACGTAGGAAGCAAAAGTGACCAAATTGTATTTAATATTGTATTTAATATAATTTTGTAATTATTTAACTTATTATTAACTTATTCATATTAAAATTAATATTATTATTAATAAATTAATATTTGACTCTTCGTCATCGATATTACAGTGATTTATCTACATAATTTTGTGCAGTACAGTGCAGTATAAGCTGTCAAATTCGTATTAAAAAGTTCGATTTGAACAAATTAATGGAATCAATTTATTATAAATTGTATTGGAATTAATTAATTAATGAGCATATTATCATAAATAAGTAATAATTTATTGTAAAAATTATTTTATAAATATAATATTTCACATTTAGGTGACAATAACATAATCGAAATGAAGAGGCCGTTCAAAGAAACCAATCGAATATTTTCTTATTGTGCACTAAGAAAATATTCGGAATCGTGCCTCCCAAAACTTTCGCCGAACGCTTCGAAATGGGAGAAATGCATGAGACGATTTCGAAAAATTTTATTATTATACTCGGAGCATCCCACTTGCAACCACTATTACCAAAGCAGCGCAGCGGTTATGTTCGAAAGGAAACGTCAAATTTCGACCGTTCCCGTTTACATAATCCACCCCTTTAGCAAATTCGCTTATTACAGGGAAATAGTTTGGTGCTTGGTGTACCTAATAATATTTTCGGTATGGCCAATAATGGCGTCGCTTATATTTTACCTTATATTTTACGTAGGCTCAGTCTCACAAGAGTAACGAGCTCGAACGTATCAATCCTAAATTAAATATTATAGATCATTTATTTTGTGGTAAAGTATTATAGTACGACGATGGCAACAAACCACCCAGCAACAAACTTTTACCCGTAATTTTCTATCTATTTTCTTAGTTGATATGTTCCTTATTATTTGAGATAGCGGAAAACTAAATGCACCATTCGACAGCTTGATTTTTTCTAACTACTACTGTCACTAACTAGCTCTCGAGAACTGCTCGTTTCCCGTAGTGGGTTTCCTAGCTAGGTCCACGGAGCGGCTCGCGTACCCAACTGTCCACGCACTACCGTTTTCTTGATAGCTAGCAATGACTGAGTTAGGGTTTGGCACACTGCATTCGTTCACTTGAAAGCGAACGGCAGTAATTTGAAATTAAGAATAAAAATAGATTGAAAGAAAACGAAATTTCACTGCTAAAGAATAAGTTTGCTTTATTTTTGAACAAGAACGTATTATATTATATATAAAAAAAAACAACTGACAAAGGTTTTAAAAAGTAAAAATTACATGACATAAGCTATTCAACAACATCATTACGAAATTTGCCGAGGTGGTTAGCAGGTTCAATGAGAAATCGGAAGTTTAAGATTTTAATAACGCTTACCCGTTTGTTAAAGTAAAATATTCATCGAAGAAAGAGAATCCAATTCAACGAATTTTATAACTAAATTGCTATAAGTTCAAATCGCACGACTCGAATTTAAAAACACAACAAAAACTTTAATTTCCCGGTTTCGCCCGATGCTTTTCTGTTCCAATCCCGTAACCGACTCCCCGATTTTTTCTTCATTTCTTCCCTGCTCCATCTACTCTAACTGCCACCTCGGCACATTCCTGCCAGAACCGCCTACGTAGTATTTAGTCTGGACCCTCGGTTCTCAAGACGCAACTTCGTAATTAAATTACAAAGTTCTGCCTGTATTGCGTTTTATTATTTTTTTTAATCGCTTTCGAATCCCAAAATGCGGTTTGTTACACTACTTACTAATCGTAAGATCAATAAAAAATTAAGAACATCGCTCTGTACTTAAAATAGCTCAAAACTACTACTTAAAGCCTTTGTGCAATTGTTATCAAACCAAATTTTTAAAAAGCTGTTATCACAGTCAGAAAGAGCGCTCTTTTAACTATCTTAATCCGGGTTTTCGTCGGTCAATATCTATCGGCGTCATGCTTAAATCACCCTAAATATACCTATGTACGTCCATACACGCAGAAAGGCTTAATTGCTCTTCCTGTAAATAACTTTCTTATTTGATAGAGGGAAAACTATAGAACTGTAATTATCTTATCAAAAAATTTCTGCTCTTTCTAATGGTGTATAACACGCGCTTGAACAAGTACGTTTTTGGCCAAAAACTACTAAATTCACACGCTTTAGCCACTTTTAAACCTTGTTCTAGTCGATAACTTTCTTATATAACCAGGAGAAGACTCTACAACCATATCTATATTATCGAAAATTTTCAGCTCTTTCTAGTGGTGTATAACACGGCTATGGCTTGTTTGCACAAGTAAGATATTGGCCAAAAACTACTAACTTCACACGCTTTAGTCACTTTTAAACCTTGTTCGGATCGATAACTTTCCCATATGACCAGGAGAAAAGTCTAGAACCATATCTATTTTATCGAAAAAGTTCTGCTCTTTCTAATGGTGTGTAACACGCGACGATAGCGCTTTTGCACAAACACGTTTTTGGCCAAAAGTGACTAAAACGTGTGAATTTAATAGTTTTTGGCCAAAAACGTACATGTGTAAGCGCATGATTGCTGGCGTGTTATATAGCATTAGAAAAAGCAAAGAAATTTCGATAAGATAGATATACTTCTATAAATTAAAAGATAATTCATTTTTATATAGAGGTTGATCTAAACAGCTCCACGCTATCTATTAAATTAGTCTACAATTAAAAGCAGAGTTTCAATCCAGGTTCTTTATAATTTACAAAAGTACGCATTCCCTGGACCAGCTTCATATTTGTTCGTATGATTCTAAAAATTATTTATTTTATTTATAGTTTAATTAATAATTTAATAAAAATTAATTAATTAATATAATTTTTAATTATTTAACTTTTTATTAACCTGTTCATATTAAAACTATAAATTAATATTTGACTGTTCGTTGTCGATATTACAGTGATCTATCTACATGATTTTGTGCAGTATAAGCTGTCAAATTCGTATTAAAAACTTCGATTTGAACAAGTTAATCGAGTCAATTTATTATGCATTTTATTGGAGGTAATTAATTAATGAGCATATTATCGTAAATAGGTAATAATTTATTGTAAAAATTATTTCAGAAATTTAACATTTCACATTTAGGTGACAGTAACATAATCGAAATGCAGAGGGCGTTCAAAGAAACCAATCGGCACATGTGTACAATAAGGAAATATTCGGAATCGTGCCTCCCAAAACTTTCTCCGAACGCTTCGAAATGGGAGAAATGCTTGAGACGATTTCGAAAAACTTTATTGTTATACTCGGATCACCCCTCTTGCAACCACCATTACCGCAGTAGCGCGGCTATTATGTTCGAAAGGAAACGTCAAATTTCGACCGTTCCCGTTTACATAATTCACCCTTTTAGCAAATTCGCTTATTACAGGGAAATAGTTTGGTGCTTGGTGTACCTAATAATATTTTCGATATGGCCAATAATGGCGTCGCTTATATTTTACGATAACCCCGAAAACCAGAGATGGGTCAACGAATGCGCGCGCTGCGTCAATTGGTTCATCGTAATCAACGTAGTATTTTGTTTCATATCCGGTTACCATAACCCCCAAATAAGAGAGGCGGTCTTACGCCCGAAGGAAATCGCAATTCACTACTTAAAAACGTACTTCGTACTAGATTTTTTTAGTTCATTACCAGCGAGGTGGATATATTTGTCTGACACAGGAAAAATGATCGTGATTTTGCAAAGATTCGTGCTTTACGCTCGCGTACCCACGATGTTCCAATACTCGCGGCACATCACCAATTTATTACAAATGAGCGATACCCAACACGAAATCGTCTCGCTCATAATCTTATCGTTGTTCGTGTTACATTGGTGCGCCTGTTTACTGGCAATAGTAGATCACCTTTACATCATTTTAGGGGATAAAAACATGTCTTGGTTTAGATACGCGAATCTCAGCAACCCAAACAATCATGCGATGACGAGATACTTTTGGTCATTGCATGTAAGTATGGGCCACATTTATCGATTAGGTGGCGGGTTTTCACCTACCGAATCAAAATTTGATTACGTAACGCTTTCAATAATCACCATATTGGGCTCGGCGTTCTTCGGATACGTAATTGTGATTGTATTACAAGCGATTGGGACAATCAACGCGGCCGAAAGCAAATACGAAGAGCTTTTGAGGCAACTCTACGAGTATTTGCGATCGAAGCGAGTGCCCGTTAATATCAATAAGCGGTTAACGAGGTATTGCGAATATCGCTTTCAAAAACGCTATTTTAGAACTGAAGCGATTTTGGCGACGCTCTCAGATCACCTCCGGCACGAAATCACATTGTATACGTCAAGAAATTTAATCGGAAAAGTTGAAATTTTTAAAGGATTACCCAGAGGATTGATTGGGAGTATCATCGCGTGTTTAAACACGGAGATTTATCTCAAAAACGACGTCATAATCTCGGCTCATAAACCGTTGGAGTATTGGTACATCATCTCTCATGGAACTGTGGCGATGGTGCATACAAGCGGGCTCGAAATTTGCCATTTAGAGGATGGGGACGTGTTTGGGTGCGGCCATCTTATGGATGCCATGGATTACGACGTGAATATAGTTGCGATTGAAATTTCGGAAATACTACGAATGACGAAACGCGACTTTTTACGCAACATGAATAACAAAACGATTTACGACCGATTAATGATCGCCATTGACAAACGTAACGATGATATTAAAAAGGCTTTGGATAAACGCGACCCCAAATTGCAGGAGAGGGAAGAAGTTTTATACAAAATCCGTAAAGGCACTATTTTAGAGAGTGGGTTTCCGAGAAAGAAATTGTCACAAAGTGATGATACAATTTAATTGAGTATTATTATTAAAATGATAATAAAGTTGTTGTTAATTAATACTTGTCGAATTGTTAAAGTTGGTAACTCTTGGTAAAATTTGAATTATTGGATTTTTACAAACGTCACATTGACATGCTGTCAAAAAGTGTTATAACCTATATTTCATTTTATTTTCTTATTTCGTAAATAATTTTTACTTTCTTTTATACGCTCAACAATCTTTCAACATAATGCAAACTCTCAAACCCTACCTCAATCATAATCAACACAATCACCATCCATTCCAATCGAACGTGATGATTATCACTTAAATGCGACGATAACAACTCGATAAGTTCGACGCAATGATTAATTTTTTCGTTCATCACCCGCGTACGCTTTGTAATACTAAAATAAGCACAAACATGGGAATAAAGCACTTCGAGTCGATCTTGGTCCCAATAAAAATCGGGGGTATCTAATAAATCCGAGCTTAAATTAATCACATGTCGAAGCGCGAATAGTTCGCCGTGTTTTCTCAAAACGTCCGCTCGTTTCATCTTGATTGTCCTACCACACTTTAAATCGTCCGTTATGGGTTCTATCGTGTCAATGAATCGTTGTAAAGATGATTCCCAACAACCTAATTTGACAGAAAGAGCTATTGCGTTTGAAAATGTGTATTTTTCTAACAAGTTATCTTTGGATGGTATTAAAATTTCACCACTGGATGTTAAAGTTGATTTTCTAAAACAATTTTTATTAGTAATATGTACTAAGCAACACATTACCACAAAAAAATGTATAAGTTATAACTTATTGTAGAAATAATATTTTGAAACAATTTTTTGTGTGTATTTACCCATCTTGTTCACATCGATAATTCATTTTCTCAGCTTCGCTTTGTATTAAACTTTCCGAATAAGAGTCAGATTGGAAATTGTTAACAAAATTCAAAACATTTTCAATTTCTTTTTGGGGTAAGTTCCACATTACAACGGTACCCTCTCGGAAAAAAAATAGATCTTGTGATTCTAACCCCACTTTATTCTTAGCATGAACTACATCAGTGTTATTCACAAATTTTGGTTCATATAACTGTTGTTGTTTCATGCCAAGAAATAGCTTTTCTAAATCGTATTCACCCGCTGTAGAAAACGCGGAAACATTAAATAAATTCCCTGATTTACTAGCCAATTCTTCGTCATTCACAAGATTATGCTTCTTCTTCAACGGACGTTTTTTTAACTGTAACGAGGATGGTTTGTCTTGATTATTTCCGTGGATTAACATTGGTTTTGCTTTTCTAAAATTCTGTTGAAGGAAAAAGTGTGTTTTTGTCTTTGTAAATGTGGTTAAACATTTCAAGTCCAAAAAAGAGTTGGGTTTAAATATAATTGTACGAACTATCGAAAAATGTTTGAATATTCCAGACATTTTTTAAGTGAAATCGACGTTAAAATAAAATATATTATTTAAATTAGCTAGATTAGATTATTTAAAGGATTATCGTTTTATACAATTTTTTATCTCTGTGGGTTATATACATAACCTAATTCATTGTTTATATGTCAAATCAATGACAAGAAAACGTCAAGATTTTGGAATGGTTCCATTTATTCGTTTATAATTTTAATTTTCTATAAAAACGGCACAGAAAATAACAAACTATAAAAATTATTATTATATAACGACTTTATTAATTGTAAATAATGCATTAAAATGATTTATTTAAATTAAAGATCGTTTTAGGGCAATTTTTTTTCCCCAAAATTAAATAAGGAGCGTTCGATTTAACGTTTAATATTATTCCGTGCGTTAGCTTATTCCAAAAATGAATTAAATAACTCTCTTTGGTCATTTCCAAGATTTCGTTGAGATATTTCTGATGGAACATGTGTCTCCAATTGTGATAAGAAACCGGAAAAAGAACGTTTTCCGGAAATATTTTTAAATAATCGCATTCGTTATGAGAGAAGTTCGATGTTGTATTACACAACGCTGATACCAACCTGAAAATAATTCTTAATTAATACATTTATAACAAGAAATAAAGCAAAATACAGCTAAATACTTAGTTAATAAAAGAGGACCATGTCCACTCCAAGATTTGGGGTCATAATTAATATTAAAATCTTTTAAAAGCGCATTCAACAAATATGAACCTTTCTCAAAGGCTAAAATTGCGGTGCCTAAAACCGTTTCGGATTCTTTCCCAACAAAATTTAAACCCAAATCATTCAACGATCTCATCACAATCACATCACTGTCCAAATAAATCCCACCAAATTTCATTAAAACAATGAGGCGAAAAGCATCACTAAAATGTTCAACGAAATAACTCGAAGTTTCAATTAAATGCTTACCAAATAATTCTTGAATACAAGTATTTTTAATTAAATCGGGGACTTTGGCATAAACAACATTAACATTTTTATATTCTTTTAAAACCGTTCTTAAATATTTTTCTTCGATTGTGGTCGCTGTATTGTATTCATTTCGAATTACGTAGATGTAATAAATCGATCGATTAGGATGATATAAAGCTGCCGATTCTAGAGCGCAAGATGCGCGGGGATTAATCGCGATCACGCGCTTAAGCGATGTGTCCAGGAAGAATATTGAATGTTTTTGGATAGTTAAATTGAAGAAGTTGTTCAAAATCAATCGAGAATTGAGTTTCTTTTCTTCGGACGGTTTATTTTCGGTTATTGGTTTTGTTAAGAACAAAGTGTAAGTGATGATGAAAAGAAATCCCAATGAAACGACTATGAGAAAAACTCTTTGCATTTTGCATTGAGGCGAACTAAAAAGGCTACAAACAACTGGAATAAACTATTAAATGAAAAATGTTTGTTTTTAACAAGTGTAAAAAAAGACGTGTTTGCTATTATCTAAAATATTTATAATAATTGCAAGCATTGTATATTGTCACTAATGTATTCTATTTTTATTGGAATATTTCAATATACATAAATACTTTTTAATTCATACACAGAAAATTTCTGAGTGACTCATCAGCCGGCGCTACACGATGCTACGAACACCTTCCAATGGCGAACGTTGGACGTTGGCATTTGACCGTGTCAAGAATACCGACCGATGTCGGTATTCTTTCACCGAGTCAAAGGGATTATCCAACGTTTGAATGAAAACATTGGTTGGTTCGGCCCAACGGCTACACGAGTCGTTCATATGAAGGGAGCGACGTGAAATATTTTATTTGAATTTTTCTAGTTAGTAAGAATTGTTTTTAATAAAAGATTAACGTAACAAAAGTTTTAACGTAGTCACCTTATTGTTCCTATTTTTTTATATTATATTGTTTTTGTAATTGGTCTAAACACCTAACGTTAAAACCACTAGCCAGAAAAAGTGTAAAAATATAAAATTAATCAATAACGTATTCAAAATTTAATTTAATTTTTTCGCCCGAAAAACTACAATAGACTGCCTAAGTCTGACGTCACAGAGGTGGGCGGAGATTATATCAACTCCAAACAATTTCGTTGCTAACCACAGTTGCTAAGATAAATCGCCATAAAAATGTCATTTAAAATGTCACTTAGTTTATTTTATTTTAACACTAATTGAAAAATTGCATATGGGGATTTATCGTTAGCAACGAAGATGTTTACAGTCGGTATAAGCTCCGCCCACCTCTGTGACGTCGAGTCACCACCGTTACCATAGTAACATACATAACAATCCCACAATGACGCCATAATTTGGTTGTCGCAACGTCAAATCTTTTTAAATGAAAGTTTCAATATCTCGAAAACTATGCAGTTTAAAGCATTAAAAC